GACAGTGTCATCTTTCCATCACACCAGTCTCTTTCCTTTTTTCGCCATCAATTTTCCTTTCAGAATAGCCTAATCAAAACCAGAGCTGAGGAATCTGTGATGATGCTCTCCTGGAGCTGTGTCCACAAATTGGGGAGACTCCTTTAGATTTAAGAATAACTTCAAACATGCAAAATTTCCATAATAATTTTTAAAAACAGTTTAAGAATCTACCCTTCCCACCCCTCCATTCCCCAAAGGCAGCAAGGAGTTTGAAGACAGAACTGAAACATGGCTTTAAAAAACAGCCCACAGACATTAGGTTTCCCTTCTCAGAAACCAACTTCCAGCATGGGATTTGCAGGAAGAGACCCTCCTTTCTGTGGCTAAGGGAGAAGGTGAGGCACATGGAAGAAAGAAGGGGTAGGGGATGTCAGACTGCATTCAGCTGAAGAACACACACACACACGCGCACACACACGCGCACACACACAATTACATTCCAGTGCATTTGATGTGTTTGGTCTTTTCTGCTTTTCCTGGTGGAGAAGAACTGAGCTGTGTTAACACCCATGTGAACACATGCAAACCAAAGAAACAGAGACCACTGAAGTCTTTAGGAACTGTAAAAGATTGTCCTAGGATCTTTTATCAGTTCCTTGAGGTATTTCTTCTTGCTAAAACAATCAAAGGCAACAGGTAGGCATTTTTGCAAATGATCACAAATGCCAGTTTGAAAGACAGTCTCTTTTGAAGGACATTATTCAAAACCTTTGTTGTCAAATTACGCTGATACTCGATAGTGCTTGCTCCATGTGCAGAGCTCCCATTATATGAACAGGCATTCCTTTTACTCATAATCCCGCAGTAAATAACGCTGGTAAAACAAGGCAAGACCTCCACATATCTGCATTCCTATGTGATCCTAGCACATATGCTGAGTGCTCTCCCTATTTTTCCCTTTAAAAATACCCTCAATAGTACACCATTCAGCATGTCACAGTCTCACCATTCCCACAGCTTTGGCAGAGGTATGGGTTGGGACCAGCAGTGGAAGGGTGGCATTCATTGTAGAGCTGTTGGAGCCACCTTGCAACAACTGCCTCGTGTAATTTTCTTAAAAAAAACCAACCAACCCTTCTACCTAGTCTACAAATGGGCAGAATCTGCAGTTTCCCAGAAGAGTGCCAAGGCCCACGCTGAGTGAAGTTCAACCTTGGGTACAGCTCCAGTGACTGCTATGGAGCAACTCGAGGCCTGTAGTAACCTCACACACACACATCACCTGTAACGTTAATACAGGCTTGAGGGGACAAAGTAATCGGCCAGTAGAAAGAAAGATGTCTTTGCAATCACCCTTTCTACATCAAGAAGGACTGGCTTCCTTGCCTCTATTCCCTTGCTGATAAACAGCTCCAAAGCAAAGGCTGATGAGGAAGTTTCTTTCAGGACTCCTCTAACAAGAGTTTAGCCAACAGACATTTAATAACAACCACCTATTGAAACTGAGATATGTGATCTCATATCATATATCACATGTAAGATATATGAGTTATGCAGGAATTCAGTGCTACCAGGGATTACCAGCACCTTGGGAGAAGGCTGCAGTCCCACACACAGATCCAATGGCAACCCTTTCCATGCAAATTCATCCTCTCCTCTGCCTTTGCTGTATCCTATTTAGGGCAGTTTGCAGCTATCCCTGGGGAATCACTTTGTGATTAATGGCTCAGCTTTCAAGAATTGCAGGAAACTAAAGTAAAACTAACTATTCCCTACTAGCACCAGGCTTGCTGGATCCAGGAACAGGCAAGTTACAAGATATTCAAAAAGGTGGGAAGCTGGGAAGGGATAGGAAGGACGCTGTCCCTCAAGGAAAGAAAGCTGAGGTCTGAAGTGGTTTTGGAGATCTGGGGAAGGCAAGCAAGACACTTCAAGGCTGCTGGTACCATCAACAGCAGCTCAAGCTCTTCTGAAGAACACAGAATCACAGAATCACAGAACGTTAGGGACTGGAAGGGACCTCAAAAGATCATCCAGTCCAATCCCCCTGCCGGAGCAGGAACACCCAGATGAGGTTGCACAGGAAGGCGTCCAGGCGGGTTTTGAATGTCTCCAGAGAAGGAGACTCCACAACCTCTCTGGGCAGCCTGTTCCAGTGCTCTGTCACCCTCACTGAGAAGAAGTTTCTTCTCAAATTTAAGTGGAACCTCCTGAGTTCCAGTTTGTGTCCGTTACCCCTTGCTTGTTAAAAACAGGTATTTGTTTTAGGAGAAATATCCAAATGTTCTAAATTTTTAGACTGTAGTTTTACAACACGGACAGAAACAGCATCCCATTCCTTTCACCAAAACAAATTAGTATCTAAAAACCCAAGCATATTCCTTCACCAACAGGACTTAAACTATGTTCCTTGGAACTGTTTCTCCAAACAATCGACATATTTCTGTGGTCACACTGCAATAGCTACCCTGTGGGGAAGATCTCCTCAGTGCATGCTGAAGGGGCCTTACCAACACGGAACGGGTGACAAATCCATGGGCACTGTGCATCTGTGTATTTATTTACTGATAAACGTGTGAAATCTTCCCACTATTTCCTCAAGTAGGCAAGACTGTAAGTACGAAGTAGCTGCTTTTCCTCAAGTGAATAACCAACCTGCCCTTCCAAATCTACACAAAACAAAGTAAGACTTTTGGTTTGACAGACCATATTTCCTTTCTCCAAGATATGCAGATATGGAATATAATTAAAATATATTATCAGTCGTTGCAAATCTCTGGCACCAGTAGCCAATACACATATTGCAGGAAGTCGGCCTTTGTCTAGCATTAGCCCTACGTCTCCAATGAAGCATTGTTGTTCAAGGAGATTTTAACTTGAGACCCTGGCATGACCAATTTTGATAAGTCTGTAGTTACAGCGGGAAATATGGACTGGCAAAGATGTGTCTTTCCCTGAGCCTATTGAGGCAGGTGGCCTGACTGAGGAACAGTTTCAGGTACTTGTTTCTCCATGCTGAGAAGAGTCTTACTCTAGGTAAACTGGCTGGGTCACAACACCAGAAAGCACCAGCACCAGACCTACCTTTGCAGCTTATGCATCCAGAGAATGCATTCGGCCTTATTGGCCTGTTTGGCCTCCAAGTCAATGCAGAGGGGAAAGCTAATGATGTTTTTTACGTGTGAGATGCACTTGCTGAATTTTTTGTAGTTTGTAGGGCTGTTATGATGTAGCTTGGACTGTTCCTGATAACGGGGTCCTGGCAACCAGTGGGAAAATGCAAGCATCACATCCCAGAGCATGCTGTGTGGGCAGGCAGCATTGCTGCATTACTTCCTGACCCTCAGCACTTCCACCCCTGCCTCTTTAATGGCTTCTGCTTTAAGAGTCTTCTCCTTACATCCAGCTTCTCAGGGGTCCTCAGTTGAGTCTGTGCTTGCACTATCCCTCAGGCTTTCCCCTTATTTAAGTCCTTGTTCTCCAATGACCAGTGTTTACTCCAAGCAGTGTATGGAAAGCCTCATCTCTGCAAATGCAGGCAGAAAGCAGCTTCCCATACTGCTGCAGCACAGTCAGCTACAGGTATCCTGTGTATCCCTCTGGGCAACTGTAGTGCACGTGCCTGAAGAAACAGAAAACCCAAAACAATTCCCCCTCCTGCCCTCCCTCTCAAAACCACCCCCCACCCCCAAAATATTCATTTAAATGAATTATTAACCACCATGGACAAACATATTACTCTAGCTCTAGCTAGAAAAATAACATAAGAGGAGGAAAAAAAGCCTTTTCTCACATAAACTCGCCTTATGTTGAAAGAGAGTGACTGTGAATATATGAAAGTGAAAAAGGCTTGGGGACCTCTTTCAGGGAGGTAAAGCTCATTTTGCCACAGTAGAGCAGGATGCAAATCAAGAGAATGGGACTGGGAGAGAGGGAGAAAGTCCAAATTTAACTGTGTTCAGCAAACTGTCACCAGACACTGCAGGGCAATGATGAGATACAATTACTAGTGAAAGCATGAATTAGAGAAGGATACGCAGAGAGGGGTGGAGGAGAAAGTGTATGTGCAAGTCAACTACTCTTCCCATACAGCAATGCTGATTTTTTAGAGTGGACCAAGAGCAGAAGAATTCCTCAACACCTGAATTTGATGTTTATAACAGGACTGAAGAGCAGTTCTCTGGACAGCTCTTCCTCATGCTGGTTGTATCATTTGAGACGTACAGCAAGGTGCAGTGGAAATATGGAAACGGTCCGAAGAAAATAAAGTCTGTATTGCTTTTCTGTTCATGTTTTTCCCTAGTTGTCACTGGGTTTGTGAACTAACAATATTTAGGGCTACAGAGAAGTAGCCATAGATATTTAAGGCTACTTCCTTTTGGTAGGGCAATTTCCCTGTGCTGGTCCAATCATGTCAGTCATACGGACAAACTTCTGAGTGCAGACAAACCGGGAACTGTTAGAAGATCTCCCTTAAGTAATACTACTGCTGCTAGTCCACATAAAAGCAGCCTCCAAACATTACATTACTGGAGTAATGGACAGACTGCTTGCACAGTGTACATGTCAGACTAGTTGCTAATTAATTTCCCCGTCAAATCCTGAAGCAAAACTATTGGATGCCTGAGACCTAAGCCTTCCTGACCAACCACACTACAGTAAGAGAAAATAAAAACATAACAAAATAACAGCCATCATAAAACTAATAAAAACATATACATTAGCATTACAGAAGAATGACGCTTATGTCGTATTCCATGGTTTTTGGCTTCATGCTGGCTCACGGGCACTGCGAACACTGAACTGGAAGCAAACGGTGGCAGAAACGAATAGCCACCAGCAACTCAAGGAAGGTTTAATTTTAAGACTTCCCCCAAAATGTTTTTTTTTCTAGTGATGGCAGTGACAAAGAAAAACTTCATGTGAGAGAGCTGCAACTGGTGCCCAATGGAAAGACTGAAGGGATAAGATTTCTTTGTGATTTTCTCTCACACAGGGTGCAAGGAAATAAACAGTTACACATGCAGAAAACAAGTAACCTGCTGGATGTAAGCTACTTGAATGTTTTCATTGCTAAAAAGAACTTTCTTTGTGGAGGAATCAAGCATCTCTGCTCTGGAAGATACCCAAGGTACGTTTAGAGTCACCCATCCCAGACATCATTTCTAACTAGCAGCCAAAATGACACTCCTGCGCTCTACTGTTGACTAACACAGGGGGCAGAGGAAGCCGTTCATCTAACACCTGCCTCCCTTGCACAGAGGTCACCGGCACGGGGAACCAGCAGCAAGCTTTACCAAACACACCCACATTCTGGCTTTCCTTCAACAGTGTTGGACAAGAGCTCCCTGCCTCGCGAGGCAGGCAGCAGCAAAGAAGAGTCCGTAAAAACCCCCAAACTTGAAGACGAGTATCAGAAATGCAGAGTCCTCACATCCGGCCGGCGGTGTGCAATGTCTTGCCCCCGAACCAGTGTTTGTTCAGTGCTCCCTGCAGACTGGATGCGGCCTGAAACAGGCGGGTGAAGCTCACCTCTGCCCAGTGTGGTTCCTGTTCGCCTCCGCGTTTAAGGCCAAGTTGTGTAGGAAGAGAAAAAGCTGCCACCACACTTGATTTCTGTTCTGCTGATGCTGTAGAGGAGAACGGTTGAAGCAAGGTTATTTATATTTCTAAAATTGCAACATACCACTTCTCTTTTCCAATAACAACTCAGTTACACTTTTCAAGAGCAGATACTTTAATCCCATCAGCATAACAAGGGGGTGCAGCAAGGGATGAGGGGAGAGAGGGAAATGATAAGTTCTCCAGAAATAATTGTAGCTCTAACATTACAAAAAGAAAAGAGCAGACCCTTTATGCATTGTGCACAAGAGGATTAAACTTTTTTTATGCTTGTAGGATTTTGCAGAGTTTAGCCAAGTGCTGTTTTTAATCAGATTGGCTTCTGAGCCTTTCAAAAGCCCCAGCTGCATGAACAAACAACCTTTTTTTTTTTTTTAAAAAAAAAGCCCCCCTTCACCCCAAAAGTAAAAAAAAAAAGAAAAAATATAACTGGTGATCCATCTGTAAGTGATTTGACACCGTGAAGGTCAAAGGGTTAATCTTCAATTTAAACCACACTGCTGAGACAGCAAAACTCTGATTTCATCTAGTACAAGAAAACACATTCGTGCACACACACACTCCCCCACCCTCCCCCCACCACATTTTCCTTCCCAGCATCTCCAAGATAATACTGCCCTTTTTATAGCCACTTTTGACAGTAAGCCATAAATAATCAGCCTTGGAGCCCTTTCCTACTGACTGGAGCCAATTAAACCTTAAGCAAGAACATACTTGAAAACACACAAAAAACCAAAACCAAGAGGTTATTTCAGGTCCCATTGTCAAGGAAGAAACATGGGAGTTGAGTTTCAGGGGGACACCAGACCCCATAATGCAGCTTTGGGGCAGGGACACTGTTCCTTCTTTTGTTATATGTAATCACCCCTGCAAAAGTGGCTCCGATTATACCTTCCTGCACTTCAATGGCATCTCATACAAACAGGTGGGTTTCTCTTTACATTGCCCAGCCTGAGATACTATTTCACCTCAATAACCGACCCTCTATGAGAAGTCAGTCTTTGTTTTCTCCTCCAGAATTCCATATTTGCTAAGCAGGACTGATCATTTCTGGAAAACAAACCAAACCAGCCCCAATCTCCCCCCCCCCAATCCCCAACAGACAAGGAAACAGAAGACTGGCTTCCAACAACTTTGCCTGAGTACACAGGAGTTCATAAAAGAGCACTGAAGCACATTATATGAACAAGATGTTTCAACTCAGATTAGCCCAACAGGGCAGAACAACACGGCTGCAAGGCATTCTTTACATAATCACAAATAAGACAGAGTTGCAACTGGAGCTGGTGTATTGGAGATGTGTCAATGTGCTAATAGTCATTAGATTACATTCATATTTCAGCATGAGCAGTTCTGTGCCATTTGAATCACAAATACACACAAAATAGGCTTCAGAAAACCGTGTTCATCTCACATCTTAGCAGTGGGTCATTCTTCTTACCCTCAAGACTTGACATTTGTCTCCTGGATTTAGAAGAGTTCACACAGATCCCATTGCAGATTTCATCACCATTCTGTTTGGAGCGTATCCCACAAACAGTGACTCTCGAGCCTAGTGTAATTTATTTCAAAGTAACCCACCCTGAGTTCAGTCTATACTGGTTGTCAAGACATTGCTCGGTTTACAGGTGAAAACCATCTTTTATAAACTATACCCTAGGGCTGGGTTACAAAACCCTATTTGGTCTCAAAAAAACAAGATGCTTTTTGTTTTGCTACTTGCCTCTCCATTTGACCAGGCTTGTCCTCCTTCATCAAACTCCAGATTCTTCTCACCCTCCACTTAGAGCCACATCCAAACCTGCTCAAACATGTGTGCGGAACCCCAATGTCCATATGACATCCATATGACATACCATGTTTCTATCAAGCTATTACAGCTTAAGTGGACTGCTCCTTAAACAGAGATGTTCAGGGCAGCATGGCAATGAAGTGGCATGCAAGCACAATGCCTTCTTCTGCAGTTTCCAAAGCAGGGAACTATGCTATGAGAGCACAGTGGACAAAAATACTAAAGATGCCCTGAGGGCAATCTGCTTTGGCAGATTACTGCGTTGTATTGGCAGCCAAGAGGGTAAAGAAGTGTCTTATAGGGACATAGTATGGGAAATGCAAAAGGATGTTTAAAAATTGGTATCGAAATCCTAAATTTTAAATAGATCTTCACTGGTGCACTCTTTAATGGAAATGCTCATGGAATTTTATAAAGGAGGCTGTTTTGCGCTTCTCATACACCACAAGAGGTTTCTAAATATTCTGTCTCCTTAGGTTTTACATGTCACCTCTGAAGAAAAGGATTACTTGTTCTTTGTAGTGATAGGTAAAGGAGGGCACGTGGAAGGACTGAGGTCATGCTCCTCCCCTTTTTTGATGGGGGGGATTTTGAGGATTTGTTTTTATTTAGTAAATAAGAGTTTTAGAGCTCTACTTTAAGAAGGGTTACAGACCGTCAAGAAAACCAGTGGGAGGTGGTATCACAAATATTGAGAAAAAATCTAATTTATTTTTTTTTTAGTTTATATTCTATTGTGTTTATTTCACTGCCTCTTGAAGCCAGTTTTTTGGTACAGCATTTTTGTCCTTCTCCAGTTAAAAATGTTTCCCACTGTTTGCCTGAGGCACTCAAGGAGATTTCCATGCAAGAACAGAATAGGAATTATTTTACCCTTGTTTCCCGCTGCATATAATAACCATAAGATCTCAAATCACTTTATGGAGGACGTTGACACCAATGATTTTGTTTTGAAGTGAAAAAATAGAGCAGTAGGCCAAGGGCAGCTTTCCAGGTTTTATTACTAGACCTAAAGTTTGCGTTTTGCTGGGTCCACGCTCAGCCAGCACTTCCTTCCACAGTGCTGTAGTCCCACACACACTTCCACTGCCTTGGGGACTGGAGCAGCCTGCTCACGCTGTCCTCTCCTCGCACTGGTGCAGGAAAGCGAACCAGAGCGGGACAATGACCGAGGCCAGAACTAACCTGGCAAAGAAGTTGTGTTTAGGATGATCAGGTCATTCTAATCCATCTGATGGATGCATCAGGTGGTCAAGCTGATGATTGTGCCAGCACCACAGGAAGGTGACCTGAGAAGAGGAGCAAGCTGGGACTGGTTCCTCCAGCAGCCAGCCTTGCTAATGGGGTTTACAGAGTTACGGCTTCACCTCTGGGCTGACACACTTTCTGTGGCAATTCAGTGTGGGGCAAGAGCCATGGAATGGAAATGGCAGATATTCCTTCCAATACAGACAGAGAAAACAATTTATGGAAAGGACTGTCTCAGCCTAAAAAATGTCCTTTTCACAAGTTTCAGTAGCATTTCCCTAGATGTATCCGCCAAGACCAAAATACTCAAATATTTCAGGACTGAGGGTTTTTTGGTGTGGTGTAATTTAGCTGCCAAGAAGGTCAGAAAACCCAGGAGAGTGGCTCCATGAATTTGGCATCTGGTTTTTTCAGATGTGATGCATTTCAAACCAGTTCATACAGTCTTCTAAGACTCGCAACTATTGTGACACAGGTTTCTAATTTTCCTAAGCTTCACTGCACTGATTTGTCACTCAACAAACCAACCCAATCTTCAGTCCCTACTGCACAAAAGCATCAGGGATGAACACTTTACCACCTCCACACGGTAGCAACACAATGAACATTTTGAAGCTCCTTTCCCAAGATGGAGAGAAGTCCCTTTTGCCCTGTACACTAATTGTAAGTAAAGAAGACCAGACTTGTGAATACAGCAAGTCAACACAAAGCTGGAAACACATAAACCCATTTCCTATTGCAGCTGCTGCTTTTTAAAGGGGATATCCTTAAGAGACTGTCAGTCTGAGGCGTTAGCATGAATGTTTCAGTGAGTCACAAGGAAAGGCCATTTTACAGGAAAAGGGTCCTCTACAGCAACAGTACATTAGCGAAGCCTATTCCACGAACTGTACTGAACTAAAAGCCAGAACACTGGTAAACAAACACAAAAAAAAAACCTCAGCAAGACTTTTACTGGAAGCAAATGAAAGAGGAACAGGACTGACCTAGTGTTTATTCCCTTCCTGTAATTAATATTCCTAATACATGTTTCACACTGTAAGTATACAGCTGTGTATCTGTCAAAGAGCATGCCAGATGTCAGAAGCCTTTTACTCCTACCAAGCCCTCGCACAGGGTGGTCAAGGAAAGATCAGCACAGGTAATACTAAAAAGCATAAATAATAAAGCAAGCATCCCTCTGACACAGCTTCTTGAATCCTTGAGCATAAATGTTTCACAGATGAAGAGCGTTCACTTTTCCACCTGATACCATATGTGTCATTAATAATCTTCCTTAAAAAAATTTCAGAGTATGTTCATTCTATATACATGTTGTATGTGGGTCTGGTACATTCCTATGACATATACAGAAGGGTACACCTGTCTACCCTCTTTATCTCATGGGTAACTTTTGACTTTGCTTCAGGTCTTGCAGATGGTTAAGGGTCAAATTCTGATCCCATCTTAAACAGAAGGATTAAAATATAGCCATAAATGGCGCTATTATTGCAAAAGAAGAATAACGGCATATGTGGACATGTTTTGGCTGCCAGGTGGCTGGAGGCATATTGTGCTACCACAAAATATGCTTTAGCTTAGAAAGACTAGAAAGTCACAGTCCCCAAGGCAACAGAGGTTACAGAAGGTGTCCCCCACTGCAGTGAGAAGTGCAGGCCAATGGAAGTCAATCACAAATCCTTCCAGCTGTGATTCCTAATGACCAAAGAATAATGCATGTGTAAAAACAGCAGGGGAAAAAAAGGAGACAGTAACACAAAAAGGTAAAGAGGAGCTTAGTGGCAGAATGGTGACACAGAGGTGAGACAAAGAGATCTTCCTCAGCGACCTGCATCCTTCTGGCTTGCAAACCCTGCAGCTTTCTTAGGTGGGACTAAACCTGTGGTAGAGGGAGGTGGCATCTCAAGTACTGCTTCCTCTCCCAAAGCCTCGTCAGGCTTTGCGAAGGAAGATAAGCAACACGCATGT